TCAACAACAACAACAACAAAAAATCAATAAAAACATATTTTAAAAAATAAAAATGCCCTCAGAAGTGAAAGACAACCTGATTAAAATATTCCCTAAACGTTATCTTGTCTCTGTCGGTCCAGGTTTTTGTTTTTTGTTTTTTTCAATTTTCTTTTCAGGTTGATCCGAAAACTCATAGAACTATCAAAAAGGGAAGGGCTTTGTTGCTCCTTGCAGCACCGTGAAGATATCACACATGTGCGTTCTAGAACGGTCTAGGGACACAGCATTAAGCTACATCATCAGTGTACAATAGCCGATGCGTGTGGAAAACAGAATCAAGGCAGCGTTGCAGTGGCATATGGCTTTTACCCCCGTGAGATCAATCATTAACCCAGGCACTCTGTAAGGTGCTGCACTAACCCTGCCAGGGCTCTGGGGCTGCCTTCCTCTCTGAAGGAACAACGAAGAGATATAGTTTGGTGGGAGTTCCAAGTCCAGCTGTCGCTTATCTCACTAAACACGTCTTCCCTCCGATTTCTAAAAGGGTGAAAGCACCTTCAAGAAAAGGTTTTAAATGACTGTGAAGAAAAACCCAACCAAAAGGACACGACCCCCGCCTCCTGTTAACCCGTGGGAAACTTGGGGGAGTTGAATGGCCTGTTGGCTTACCTGCTACCAAATGTTCAAAAATGAGTTAAGAAAATTTTAAATGTTTTTTCTTTTTCCAAAATGAACTTTCCCCTCCCTTGACCCACAGCAATTTCTGGTTTGTCAGCAGAAAATAAAATGACTCACTACGTGATGTGGGTTTCGCCAGAAGAGGGCGAGCAGAAACAGCTCCCGAAGGTTGCGATGAGGTCAGATACTTTCTGTTTTGTATCCCACTTGTGGCTGCCAGATTAAACCACCTGAACTGAGCTACGGTGAAAACTGCCTCAGAAATGTTGAGCAGCAAAACAAACCAACAAACATTGAGCGGCTCTCCGCCACTTAACAAATCAAGCACAAACTCTCGGTATCCTTCCAGGTTAGCTCAAGGTGACTGCTTTAGTGAGGGGTGGTGTATTTGGTCCTGTTGGAGTCTGGATAGTGGAAGCAATGCCATCTTTGTTTAGCAACCTCACTTACTCCATGCCCCTTGCTGTTCAAAGCTCCATTGCTGTAAAGGTAGGGTCCCATGAAAACCTAGCAAAAAGAAACAGCATCAGTAAAGACATGGGGCACAGACTGACAATCCCCAGAAGAGGGGTGTGGAGAGATAAACCACAGAACTTATATGCATGTACGCATAACCGATGGACATGGACAACGAAGCTGGGGACAGGGCGGGGAGGGAGGGGGAAGAGGGTGTCAATGGAGATAAAAGGAGAAGTATCCGTAACAAAAATTAATTAATTAATTAATTTAAAAAAGAAATGGTTTACTCTGGTATTTATTTGTTTGATTATTTATTTATTTATTTTTCTGTATTGATTTTAGAGGGAAGGTAGGGAGAGATGGAAACATGGATGAGAGAGAACATTGATTGGCTGCTTCCTGCATGTCCCCCACTGGGGATTTGGCCCACAACCTGGGCTTGTGCCCTGGCCAGGAATCGAACTGGTGACCTCTTGGTGCACAAGTCAATGCTCAACCACTGGGCTTGCTGGGCTTACTCTGGTATTTAAATTGAAGCAGCTATTATCAGCTATTCTCAATAGTCATCCCATTACCTGGAAAGAAATTAGAATAGTTTTGGGACTACAACATTTTCAAATACTACCGGAAAAAAGTCGCAGATTAAAAATCCTCATCTGGCCTGGCCGGAGTCCAGAGTGGCTCAGTTGGTTGAGCATCAGCCTGTGCACTGAAAGGTGGCCAGCTCCATTCTCAGTTAAGGCCCATACCGGAGTTTCGGGTTTGATCCCTAGTCCCGGAGCATACTGATTGGAAGGCAACAGATCGATGTCATTCTCTCTGTCTTTCTCTCCCTCCTCTCTCTAAGAGTGTCCTCAGGTGAGGATTAAATTTTTTAAAATCCTCATCTGGCCCTAGCCGGTTTGGCTCAGCGGTTAGAGTGTCGCCCTGCGGTCCGGAGAGACCTAAGTTCGATTCCCGCTAAGGGCACATATCTCGGTTGCAGTTTGTCCCTGGCCCCGGTTGGGTCGTGCGTGCGGGAGGCAGCCACTCGATGTGTCCCTTTCATGTCGATGTTTCTCTCTCTCTCTCTCTTCCTCCCACTCTCTCTGAACAAAAAAATAGAAAAATGTCCTCGGGTGAGGATTAAAAAAAAAAAATTGAGGGAAACATTTGCAATAAAAATGACAGAAAATAGTAAATATACTAATAAACTAAGATTCCTAATAAACAAAAGACAGCACCATAGTAAAATGAGCCAGTTTATGAAAAGGCAATTCGTAAAAGAGGAACTAGGAGAAGGTGCTCAGTCTCCCTGGGAGTCAGGAAAATGCAATGAATTCATGAATATTATGAGTAGTTGCCTCAGGTCCCAGGGGCCTAGCAGAGGGTAATGATCCTAAGGACAGAAGTCAGAAGTCTTCAACTTTAACTGCACTGCTTTATTATTTTTTTAAATTAAAATATGTTAAGATTTAAGGGGAACGTGAGAAAATGGTAACAGTTATCCAACTTGAGTTGTGTCTTTTGGTGAACATATATTTGCATTCTGTTCAGTATATGCCTAGGAGTAGGATTGCTAATCATAGGACATGCAATGCATATGCTCTAGTAATGATCTGTTTCTTAATCTAGGTGTTGGTTTTCAGGGTGTGCTCAGTTTACGAAAATTCACTGAGATATGCACTTGTAAGATATACATTTCAAATGAAAAGTTAAACAACAACAAAATAAAAACTATCAGGCAATACCACTTCATAGCCACTATGATGGCTAAAATAAAACAGTGGAAAATAGCAAGTGTTGAGGAACTGGGTTGCTCCTATATTAGTAGTGGGGATTTACCTCCATGCAACCCCTTTGGAAAACTAGCATCATCTACTAACAGCAAAAATAGTTTGTGTCCCATGATCTGATAATTCTACCTATAAGCAAGGCATAACTGAAAGAAATTTGTCTATACAGTATTGTTACCAAAAGACATATATAAGATATATATGATACCATTTTTTTTCAGTATTTTTCCTTTTTTATTTAATTTATTGGGGTGACAAGTTAAAATTATACATGTTTCAGGTACCTCATTCTACAACACATCATCTGTATACTGTATTGTGTGTTCCCCACCCCAAGTCAAGTCTCCATCTACTACCATTTATCCCCACTACACCTTCCTCTACCTCTCCCCAACTTCCCAGTATATTTGTAACAACATTATTAATATATATTTGACATATAAAAATTGTATATATTTAAGGTGTATGATTTAATGTTTTAATATAGTATTGTGGTATCATTTTTAAGGCATCAGATTAGGAGGAAAATAAATTATGGTACATCAAAGATATGAGCTTTATACAAATTAAATCTATCATCTATCTATCTATCTATCTATCTATCTATCCATCATCTATCTATCTATCTATCCATTATCTATCTATCTATCTATCTATCTATCTATCATCTATCTATCTAGGCTTGGTGTGATGTCCCTGAAAAGTTAAGTGAAGTAAGTTGTATATAGACTGATCTTATTTTTGGAAGGATAAAAAACAAAGACAAAACTCCTTTTATGTGCATCTATGTATGTAAGAGCAAGAAGAAAAGACTGCAAGTAAATAGATCAAAATATAGGAGGGTAAAATTAAATGGGAAATGAGGAGTGAGATGATTAACTTTTTCCTTAGTCAACTCCATACTGTCTGACTTGCTAAAACCAGAATTGTTACTAGGTAATTATTTTTTGATTGAGATACAATTCACATACAATAAAATTTATCATTTTAAAGTATACAAGTCAGTAATTTTTTTCTTAGAGGTTTCTCAACTCCATCTTCAGTAGATTTTAGTACAGTATATTCACAAAGTTGTGTAAGCATTACTACTAATTCCTGGACATTTTAATCACACCCCTCAACCCCTCCACACACACAAAAAAACAACACAAAAAACCGTTAGCAGTCACTCCCTAGTCCTCCTGCCGCCCAGTCCCTGGCAACCACTAATGTACTTTCTGTCTCCATGGACTTGCTGCCTATTCTGCACATTTCATATAAATGGAATCATATAATATGTATGAAACATTTTGTGTCTGCCTTCTTTCACTTAGTATAATTTTTCTGAGGTTCAACCATATTGTATCGTGTATTAGTAGTTTATTCCTTTCTATGGCTGAATAATATGTTGTATGTATACAGCACGTTTTATTTATCCATTCACCAGGTGATTATCACTTACATTGTTTTCACTTTTTGACTATTATTAGGAATAATGCTGCTATGAACATTCGTGTACAAGCATTATGTGGACGTATGCTTTCCATTTTCTTAGGTATATACTTAAGAGTGAAATTGCTAGTTTATATAGTAACTGTATGTTTAATCTTCTGAGGAACTGACAGACTACTTTAAAAAAAAAATATGTTTGTATTGATTGTAGAAAGAGAAGAAGTGAGAGAGAGGAAGAAGCATTCATGTAAGAGAGAAACATGGCCCGGCTAGTGTGGCTCACTGGTTGAGCATTGACTCGTGCACCAAGAGGTCGCTGGTTTGACTCCTGGTCAGGGCACATGCTCAGGTTGTGGGCCTAATCCCCAGTGAGGGGCATGCAGGAGGTGACCAAGCAATGTTCTCTCTCATCGACGTTTCTATCTCTCTCTCGCTCTCCCTTCCTCTCTCTCTAAAATCAATAAAAGAAAAAAAAATAATAATTTTAAACAAAGAGAGAGAGAAACAGGGATCAGTTGCCTCCTGTAGGCACCAGGAGATCAAACCTGAAACCTGAGCAGGAATCCAACTGGAGACCTTTCAGTGCATGGGACGACACTGAACCAACTGAGCCACCCCAGCCATGGTCTGCCACACTACTTTTTTTGTTGTTACCGATGTTTCTCTTTTTTCTCCAAAAATATGGAATGCGTCACGAATTTGCATGTCATCCTTGCGCAGGGGCCATGCTAATCTTTTCGGTATCATTTCAATTTTAGTGTATGTGCTGCCGAAGGGAGCACCACACTACTTTTTATTTTTTTCATTTTTTATTTTTTTTTGGTGGTATGTGCCCTTAGCGGACACCAAACCCAGGACTCTCTGATCCGCAGGCCAACGCTCAACCACTGAGCCAAACTGGCCAGGGCACCACACTACTTTTTAAAGCAGCTGCATCATTTAATTTCCTCACCAGCAATGTATGAGGGTTCCAATTTCTTCACATTCTTTGTTCACTTGTTATTACAGTAGTCCCTCATTATCCACCGTTTCACCTTCTGCAGTTTTATTTAACAAGGTCACTAAAAGTTTCGTAGTTTTATCTCTTAAATATAGGTCTCTGATACATTTTAAGTAAATTTTTGTATACGATGTGAAGTAGGAATCTACTTTCCTTCTTTTGCATGTGGATATCCAGTTTTCCCAGCCTCGCTGTTAAGTCTATTCTTCCCCGCCCCCTCCCATTGAACTGTCTTGGTACCTTTGTTGAAAATCAATTAGTCGTAAATGTATGCGTTTATTTCTGGACTCTCAACTTTATTATGTCGATCTATATGTCTAGGCTTATGCCAGTACCATGTCTTGACTATTATGTAGGTAATTAAAAAAAAAAAATTAAAAATACATTTTAATACAGTTGTGAGTATGGGAAATAGTTAACAAAGCTATTGTGATCATTATAATCGACATGTCTTTTCAAGCAACTATAGTCTATGTGCTGCAGGATCCAGCACTTGAACAACTATAAACCTACTTTTGCCCACCCCTGTATTTAGTCATATAACATCAAGGACTTATTAAAGCTCTCTCTGGGGATCTTATTCTGTTTTAACTTTTAAAACAGAGCTTGAGAAAAAGGGAAATGTATCCACATCCCTGTATTTGTTTTCTATTGCTGCTAAACAAATGACTACAAATTTAGTGACTAACACAAAAGATATTGACCTTACATATCTGTAGGTTATAAATCGGACATGGGCCTTACTAGGCTTAAATCAAAGGGTGAATCCGGCCGAATTCTTTTCTGTAAGTTCTAGGGGGGAATCTGTTGCTTTGGACAGCTTTTAGAGGCTGCCCACATTCCTCGGCTTAGGGCCCCTTCCGTCTTCTTCAGAGCCAGAGTGTTGTATCTCTTTTAACCATTCTGTAGACACATCTTCCTCTGACTTTTTTTGAACTCCTCTTTCCCATATAAGGAGACTTGTAATTACATTGGGCCCACTTAGATACTCCAAAATAATCTCTTTTTTTTTACAAAATTATTTTTATTGTTTTTTGGGAGGCAGGGAGAAGGAGGAGAAGCTGGAGGGCAAAGCTGGTGTCCTTTGGGGACCACATACCCATGAGGAGGTAGCCTGCTAGTGCCCGTCCAGGCTGCATCAGAATAATCTTATTTTAAAGATTATTTAAAGATTATTAATTAATTATTAATTCTCCATTGCCATCTAACCTAATATATTGACGGGTTCTGGGGATTAGGATTCAGACATCTTTTCCCTAGGAGTAGAACAAGGCTTTTTCTGCCTTTAATATTCATCATCACAAACTGAATCAGAATACAATTTTTTTAAGGCTTTATTGAGGTGTAATTGACAAATAAAATTGTTGGGTATTTAAAGTGTACATCTTGGTGATTTGATATATTATATACGTTGTGAAAGGCTTCCTCCCATGTAGTTAATTAGCATATCCATCACCTCACATACTTATCTTTTCTTTTTATGTTTTTTAAATTGATTTTTGAGAGAGAGAGATAGAAGCATCGATGTGAGAAACATCGATCAGCTGCCTCCTGCACACCCCCTACTGAGGATGGAGCCTGCAACCTAGGCATGTGCCGTGACCAGGAATCGAACTGGTATCTCTCAGTTCATGGGAGAACATTCAAAATCACTGAGCCACACTACCTGGACAATTATCTTTTTTTTTTTTTTAATTTAATTTTTTTCATCTCCATTTATCCCCCCTATACTTGCTTCCACCTCCACCCACCCCTCCCCCTACTTATCTTTTTTTTAAGTGCCAACATTTAAGTTGTACTCTCTTAGCAAATTCCAATTATACAGCATGGTGTTATCAACTTTAGTCATGTTATACATTAGATCCTCAGATCTTATTCACCTTGTAGCTGAAAGTTTGTACCCTTTCACCAACCTCCCCGTTTCCCCCACCAGTCAGAACACAAATGTTTTTTAATAGTTTACATTGACATTGGTTAAATGAGTCGCTTTAAGATCATACAGCAAATGAGTGACAGGCTGGGGAGAGGACACTGGTGTTTTAATTCCCTGTGTGGTGATCCACTTGCCTCACTTTTCATTTAAGAAATATGTGTTGATCATTTAGATAATGTTGCATGCAAACCTTAGGCCTAAAGCCATTTCAGACTTAACCAGCTTGTTGAGTTTTGAGTTCAAGATCTCTGAAATTTTAAAATTTTAAATAATTTTGAATGAAAATTTAAATGTGGCTGATTATTTATAAAGAGCTGACAGTACAAGTGAAGTCAAAAGCCATTTATGACCAGGAAATGCTAGTGAGGTTGATTGGAAAGGAGCTAAGGGGCTAGGAGACAGTCAATTGCAGGTCCTTTCAGTGATGATCACAAAACAAACCTGTGGCTTCTATAGGAAACAGATGTTTTCACATCTACACTACATGCATTGCTACTGGGGAAGAGCTTGAGAAAAAGGGAAATGTATCCATGCAATAGCAACCACGGAAACTCAATATGTGGCCAAAGTAAGTGAACAAAACAACAACCTGTAGAAGAGCATGTATTACAGAGTTAGTTCATTTCATTTATTCCATCGTTCAACCTGCATAAACTCCAAGCAGTGTGCTATGGCTCTGGGCCTGGTCAGGTAGCTCAGGTGGTTAGAGCATCGGCCCCATACACAACCGGGTCTGATACCTGGTCAGGGCACATTCAAGAAACAACCAATGAATGCAGAAACAAGTGGAACAACAAATCAATGTTTCTCTCTCCCTCTTTCTTTCTCTCTAAAAAAAAGAAAGAAAGAAGGAGGCATGGAATCCCTAATGCAAGTCCCCTTTTTCCCTTGGTTGGGTGCTGCCACTGGGAGAAAGGGTGGGGCCAAGAGAGAAAGTTTCGCAGGCTCAAACCTGCCTCCCACCCCTCCATGGCTTCAGGCTGTTCTCAACACACTCAATGTCCCAAGACTAACAACAAGTTCTAGGGACAAAGTCTAAATTCACATTGAAATGAAAAAGGAAGCTTGCATCAAAGGGACAAATCCGCCAAGGTTTCCATGGCCCCATTGTAGACAACCTCTGAGGTTATTATGCAGATTGGTTTCTTTCCTCTTTTCTCAACTTCCTGCTTCTAGACTTGGCTCAGAAGCGGAACAAAGCCTTCCGCCTAACAAAGCCCATTTCAGTGCATTTCCAACGAGATAGGTCCCTTGGCAACCTTCCTAGAATGTGCAAGCAGCTCATTTTAAAATAGAATCCTTTTTTCCTTTGGTCCTGCCACATTTAGTAAGTATACAGTATACTAAGTGAGCAAATAGTTGTCATAGTCCTTCTCCTTTTCTCCCCTCTCTCTTCTCCTCCTCTTCTGTGTCCCTTTTCTCCCCCTTTTATTTTCATTGTTTCCTTGAATACCTCCTTATGGCTCAGTTGTCCTTGGCTTGATATTGTTCTGAACCAGATAGATGAAAGTCTAGGAAATAGTCATTTCTTTTCTGAATTTGGTGCTTGGGTGAAAAAGGAAAGAGGAGAGATTTTTGAGTGAAGAACTGGAGCTGGTGAGAGAAGCAATCGACTCCAAGCAAGAGACATTCCCTGAACTGATTAGTTCATTTCTGGAGCAATTACTCTTCAGCTTTCCAGGAGTGGACAGACTTCATTTTTCTTAGATTTGAAATAAAATGCATGATGCTGGCCCTGGCTGGTTTGGCTTAGCAGTTAGAGCGTCGGCCTGTGGACCAAAGAGTCTGGGTTCGATTCCAGCCAAGGGCACATACCTCGGTTGCAGTTTGTCCCGGCCCTGGTTGGGGTCGTGTGAGGGGCAACCAGTCAATGTGTCTCTCTCACAGGGGTTATGTGGGTGGCAACCAGTCAATGCATCTCTCTCACATCGATGTCTCTCTTTCTCTCTCTCCCCCTCCCACTCTGTCTGAAGATAAATGTAAAAATATCCTCGGGTGAGGGTTAAAAAAAAAAGCATGATACTGGACCCAAGGCTTCCCCGGTCTTTAATCCAGTCTTTTATCTCTGGGTTTCAGCTGACATCAACTGTCTTTTTTACTTATTGTAAAGTTCCTGTCTGATCTTGGATCCACATATGATTTATTTTGTTGGTTGCTATTTCCTGAGTCGTGAAGGGAGGGGTTCCAGTGTTCAGGAAGCCCAAGAATGGATGAGATTTGCGTGACTGCTTAGCAACCTCTATCTAAAAACGAATCTTTTCAGAATTATGTCCAAGGACCAAGACTAGGATGGTATTTGCTCTTAACTTACAGATACCTTATTTATCTCAATTGTGCTTAGTCTATGAACAATATTTCAAGGGAATGAAAATATTTTCATTTTTAACCACAGTTTATTTTGTGTAGGTAGATGTGACTAGTAACTTTAAACTTTAGCTGTGTGACTCAAACAAAAAAAAAAATCAAGTTGTTATTCAAATTCCTTATTTTTTAAATTACTTTCTGAATTTGAGTGATTGGTTTTGTTAATGTAAAAACATCCAAACCTGTAAGAATTTTTATGAGTTTATTTGAGCCAAACTGACAGTTTCCGGAAATCTCAATGAATTGAGAAAATGCTTTTAAAAATGGTAGTTTTATCGTTTACTTTATACATCAGAACCAAAGGAGAAGATGTAAGGATTACATGAGATTCATCGGTGACGGATTGGGGAGGCAGGATAAAGCAAAGTGGGGGAATCTCTGAGATTGGACGAAAAGTAAAACAAATAGACACATACTTCTTTTACATTGGTGGGTACAGGATAGTTAACAATGAACATTACAGCACATAGAGATGATATGGGGAT